ATTTTGAATTTTGCCCGGGTGGCGGCCGAAGCCTACTCTTATCGATTTTAGACCACCAAGGGATCTTTAACGTGCGCAACTTGCACACGGGCCCTCCGAGATTTTTCGCCCTTGTCCGAGAAGGCTAGGTGTAGATCTTTCCTACCAGAAGATCAGGGGTGTGGCAGAAAGACAGCAGTAAGGAGAAGCCAAGGCGTAGCAGTAGACAGGCTGCAGAAAGATTCAGGAGCCCAGAGGAGGGGGCAAAGGAGGTGAGGGGGTGGGGGCAGAAAGTGGAAACAGCATTGTTTGAACGAAGCAGGCAAAATGTAACATGACAATGACGGCTGCAAAAATATGTTTGGGAGGTCCTCCCTCCCCTTCACCTCAGTCCTGATCTTGCCCCTTTCAGACTGAAGCAATATCCAACTATGAAGAAATTCACTCATGGCTCATGACATACACCTTACGGGCATGTAAGAGACTGGCTTCAGTAACAAACTGATGAAAAATTCCATGCGAAAGGAGTGCATTAACTAATGTGGCGATTGGAAAAATGCTTGACTGTTCATGTGGATTACATTTAGAAAAAAAGGGAATGTATAGCCATCTATCTTTGTAAGTTGTATCTCAGTCAAGAAAACACTTAATTTTATAGCTATTTTCTTGTTATTTCTGGGACAGCCCTCTTACAATTGTTATTGTTTACTGTAAATATTTTACACCCTCACTGACACAACATTGTTTAGGATATGAACAGGTTAGGCCTTGTCTGTCAGTTAATATTACAGAAGACAAAAGGAGATAAATCATGTACTCCATATGAGTATCATCCCACATACTCATAGGACTCAAACTTGCATTGCATCTTTTGCATGCCAAGGGGGGGGGGGGGGAGACACACACAAATCCTAACACCATAGTTTTAATACATGTATGAGTATGTATAGGCCTAATATCAAACATTTGAGGTATATTTATACGATTAATAACAAAGAATTACGACAGCTGCCTAAGCCAGACAAGTTTAAAAGCAGTACTTTCTTTAAGATTCTTTCTTGAGTTAGAGTGACAATGTTCCTGCATCTACAAATGAGAGTCACTTCAGTTCAACTTTTCTTTCACATTATAGCCACGGCTTGCACCAGGAAAGGCCTTGCCCTTAGTCTTGGTAAAAAAGTAAAATATAACAGTTTAGTCAGGTGCAGTAACATTAACAATGAACTTCAATCTTGAACTTTACAAACATAGACCACAAGTGTAAAAGAGATAATCAGCCAAGGGGTAGGCCTAAATATTGTAATTTTATCAAGAAGGATTAAATTCATTCTAATGGAAAAAACAAAATAAAAAATATAATAAAGTCAACAAATATTACCTCCAGGCTGGATCTTTTCCCTGTCAATACCTTGCCGGCCAACATTTTGAACTTCATCTGAAAAATTGAAAGTCAGGGGATAACTTTGAAGTGACTTCTAAGAAGCCAAAAATGGTTTCCTCAACTAGGTGTAAACATCAATGTACTCAGAGTTTCAAAAGCGGGAAGAATATGTCGATTATAATTTGACTGTAAACAAAAATGTTGTTTCATACAATAAAGTGGCAGCCCATTTGCCTGGTGTCACTAGTGCAGATCAAATGCTTAGTGTAAGAATCTGTCATTTGCCACTTTTTATGAAAATCATTTTTTTTTACAGGCAGCATGTGAAATCGATAAATGCATTTGCTGGACACATTGTGTCAAATGATGAGCTCTCTATGGTTACTGGTTTTGAAGTTGCCACACTACAAAAGTTTGAACTTCATAAACTGGAAAATAAATCAGTGAACCAGTTTTTTTATTCTTCTGAACAATTTTCAGAATGACTTTTAGCGGACTCTTACACTATGCAGGTGATATAATATATGCCAACTCACTTCTTTGATTCACCAGAGCATCTTTTTTCCCAATGCTACTTAATTACAGTACATTTATAACAGTTGCCCTGACAGTCAAGCACAGTAAATCGACAATAAATGTACCAGGTACAATCACAAACACACCTTGTACACACACACAAATCTTAAACTCTTTTCTCTCTTCACTTTTTCCAGCCTTGGGATATCCCATTATTTCATGTAAAAGCCTAAAAGATATGCCAATATGGAAATTCTTTTTCAAAGTTTGAAATTTGCCTTAGTAATAGTTTCTCAACAGTTAACTTTACACGTTGAATCTTCATCTAAAATTATTGCAGGTGGTGGTATATATAGGAAGTTTACCCCTGTGTATACATGTTGCAACAACCCCCCCACCCACCCACACACACACACATACACCTAACTATATCACATTCTAGACAGATAAATTAAAACTAGGTACATATAAAAGTAGCATTTCTCTTTAGTTCTTTCCTTTATAAACCAGTCAATAAGTCTGAGGCACAGACATTCAAAGATTCAAAGAAACACTACAAAATTCAAAGAAACACCTTGGGCTGAGTTAGTGATAGAATGAATATGTACAGGGAGAGAGGGAATATGTGTAAAGAGGGTATCCAGTTCAGACCCAGTAAACTGAGATAGAAGCTATATTATATAGCACAAGTGCATAGGTTTTTCATGTAACTCTTGGATTATGTTCAGGGGAGTGAATTTTTATCTAGCTTACGAGAGACCCAACTGAACAGATGTGGAAGATAGAAAAATACAAAACGACAGAAAAAGACTCTATAAAATGCATACCATGTCAATAATAATTGTTTTGTGAGAAAAACAGGTCAACTGTTGTTGCTGACACACACACACACTGTCAACTGTTGTTGCTGACACGCACACACACTCACACACACACACACACACACACACACACACACACACACACACACACACACACACAATGTACAGCAGGGCGTGTCTGAGAACATTTCTGTTAAACATAATGAGAATACCCCTAAACCAAACCCCATGA